GTCCCTTTTGCTTTAGCTGCTCTTGCCTTCTGGCAGCTGTGCGCATGTGTGCATTAGGAACAGGCTCCTCCTGTTTCTCTGCGCCTCTGCTGTCCAACTCTAGAGGCTCCGGAGTCCGCGCATCACTCCCAGATGGCCCTGGCCCCATCTCTGCCTCCAACGTAGAGCCCTCGTCGGGACCTTCCCCAGACTGCAGGACTGGCCCAAGGTCCTGAACCATGAATCCCTGGGCTCCGGAGGCCAGAAACGGACCTGTTTCCAGACTTCCGGAACTTCTGGGAGGCCCGTTTTTCGCCCTCCTAGAGCCTGCATTTACCTGGCATCCAAAACGGGCCGCGTGGAGACTCCTGGGAGGGGCGGGGCAGGGGGGCAGCCAGTCCTTGCAACTACCGGTTCGGCGTACCTGATGCAAAATTAGCATCCGATTCACCCAAACCGGTCTGAACTGGCTGAATCCTACCCGTCACTTTCTGGAGAAACTGGCTAGGCTAGAATCAGGTAGGAGAGCTTGTAGGAGCTACAACATTAAGCCATGAAAGGTTGCTTCGTTAAATGTCGTGGTTGAGAAGGAGGTGAAATGGGACCATTAGGAAAAGAGGAGGAAAGGAAGGAGCCCCGATCCCTCGTTTTAAATAAAGCATTTTGTGCTTTCCGTGTTGTTACTTGCAAGATGTTAACTAAGGGGACAGAAAGGTTGTTGTTGTTGTTGTTATTATTATTATAATATTTTTGATCATCCTTTTTCATTCTTTGCGTCCTTTGGCATTTTATGGCGAACCTCGTCCTCCGAGGAAAGGGAGCTTCGGCCAATCAGAATGAAAAGTCTCCAAAGCGAAAAAGGGGGAAAGAATTTAAAAAAAGAAAAGAAAAGAAAAAAAGAAAAGAAGGAAGGAAGGAAGGAAGTAAAAGCTAAGGATTTCTGTCCCGTAAAATGCCGCTCGGATGCAGTTAAATCAAGGAGGGGTACCTTCTATGATGAACGTTCGCGACTTGGAACTAAATGGGTTCCCTGGTGATAGAAAACAGATTTGAGAGAGGCAAGAGTTTAGAGCTGTAACCCTGCTTTTCATCCAGGGAGTGGGAGAGAAGCAGCCCCCTCCCCTAATTCGGGCCCTGTTCCTCACGGATGGTTCTCGTTCAAGAGCTCGTAACGAGTCTACTTAAGTGTCCAGCGATTCCCAATTTCTTTCGCCAAGAATTTTAATAAGGCCGCTATCAACTCCCAAAGCATCCCTGGCCTGCTCTCGAGTTGCCATAGGCAAAGGGGATGGGAAACCAACGAAGCAGTATGGCAGCCTAAGACAGGAGCACATTCCAGACATATCTTTCTCAAGGCTGTCTCCCAGGGTTACCCACAGCAGCGGGAGGGGAGTGATCTCTATAATCCTGTTGGTGAATGTGATTGATGACACACCCTGGGGCGGGGGGGGGGGGTTGGGTTAGGAGCCGAGTGTTTACTGGCCGGATGCCTTTCTTGTCACCAATGAGAAGTTCTGTTCAGCAGATATATTTTCATGTGCCCAGAGAAAGAGAAATATCTGCCTCTACCTAGGATCGAACTCACAGCCTTCCGATTGTGAGGCAAGAGCTCCACCTCTGGGCCACCGCACCCACTCCAGCGAATAAATTCAATCATAACTAAAAAAATAAATTATGCGACTTTCGACTTCCCGCTGGCTTCCCCAATGCTTCGTGACCTCCCAACACTGCAGCCATCCTAAATGCGTGACAATTGCCGAGCGTCTAACCACGATCCTGTGATCATGGGAAGCCGTGATTGTCGTTGCTAGGTCCAAGGACCAGCTGCAAATCCCTTTTATCAGGGCCCAGTTCAAACGGTCGCTAAATGAATTGTCCTAAGGGCCAATGAGCCAACGAACCTTTGAAAAGGCAAGAATCGAATGGCCGTAGGCATAGCAATTTTTTAAGGGCCTCGCCAAGGTTAACTGGGATAACTAAGAGGTTTCTGTTCTGTAGAAATTCGAGCAAAAAACCCCAAATGGTAGCTTACCTTCCATAGGTGTGTTCGGATCCGGCCGATTGGCAAATACCACGTCCACGTAATTCAGCTGCAGCCGTTCTAGGGACCCCTTTAAACCTGGGGAGGGGGAGAGAAGAAGCCTACTAAAAATAAAATAAAATAAAAACGGGGCGCGCTCCCATTTGTGAACCGGTAGGGAAAGTGAGTACCACAACACAACACAACACACAACACATGAACAGGGCTTCGTTTTTAACCGTTCCTTGTCTGACCAGGAAATGCAGGTAGTCCTCGACTTACGACCATAGTGGAGTCCAAAATTTCTGCTGCTCAGCAAGACAGTTTTGAATCGGGGTTGGGCCTCATTTTACGACCTTCCTTGCAGCCGTTGTCCACTGAATCACTGCCGTGGTTAAGTCCTCGACTTATAACCATTCAGTCTGAAGCGACCACAGCATCCGAAAAAGCGACTTAGGACCGTTTTTCATACTTATGACCGCTGCAGCATGCAGCGCGATCCAAATTCGGACGCTTGGACACCGCCTCGTATTTATGACGGGGTCGCATAACCCTGGGGGTCACTGCAATCCCCTTTGGTTACTTTCTGAGGAGACGGGGAAAGCAGTTTCCCTTAACGACCATGTTCCTAATTTAACTGCAGGGATTCACTTAACAACGGTGGGATGGTGAAACGGGACAGCTGCCTCACTTAGCAGCAGACATTATGGGCTCAATTATTTTGGTCATAAGTCATAAGTCGAGGACTACCTGTACAAAGAACGGTGGGTAGGGGGGACGGACCTTGCGCACCCCAAAACTAGACCAGGTTGCTTTTGAAGGACCAATGGCCGTTTTTCACACTTACGACCGTTGCTGTATCCCTTAGTCACATGATCCACGTTCGGACACAATTCTGGATCAGGAATTATATTTTAGGGATGGGGAATGGAAGGAAGCAACATTTATTTACCTTCTATAATGTGCTTTCTGGAAAGGCCTCGTTCTGTCTCGGCCCTAGGAAAAAAAAAGAAAGCAAGACAAGGATGAAGTCATTAAACAGGGAGTCCTCGAGTTATGATCGCCTTGCTTAGCGACGGTTCGAAGTTACCACCTGCCTGGAAAAGGAGAGTTACGACCTGGATCTGAAGTCCTGACAATATGCCCCACCCGTTGTCGAATGATTGCCCTTGGGGTGCTGGTCAACACAACCTCAACTTACAATTGTTGGCAGGGACACGTTTTATGACAGACACGTCATAAAACGGAAAAAATTCACTCCCTTCCGTTTTTAGTTAAAATTCTACTCATCGTGAACAATAGGTTTGCGCTTATAACGACTGCGTGCGCTTAATGACCACTGCAAAAGCATCATAAAATCAGGATGTTCACCTGTTTTGCAACCACTATGACTTACGACCATCCTAGGCAGCCTTTATTACGGTCGTAACTGGAGGACTGACTACCTGCATGCCAAATCCTCATTTTTTATTTTGGAAGGAGAGAAACTGGCAGGGCCAGGAGGATGTGGCACTCTTCACATGCTCAGAGGCTCACTTCTCGTTGTCGCAAAAACGACACCGGAGATCAGACAGTAATTTCTGAAAATATTTCAATATTTTTTTCCTTCTCTTTTTTTATGATGGGGCCCGTTTGCAAGGAAGCGTCTACCGGAGTGAGCGACGGCTAAAATTCATGTCAATAAATGAAATAAAATCATAAATAAATAAAATAAATATACGTACTTCCCTCCCCAAAAGATCTTCGTTGTGATCACTAAACTGGACCGTCTGAAAGGAAAAAAAAAGAAGAAGAGAGGGACAGTAGCCTGGATTTATAGTCTCCTTTATCAAGATTCTAGTCCACATGAGGTCGTGAAAGACTCAAAAACGTTCACGCCCCTTCTGGGGGCATAAAAGTGGAATTTGGTCGTAGGGATAATGGTTACCTCCATCCTTTCTTTTTGATAATGTTGCCTAGGACGACTTCAGCTCTGCGAAATAGAGAGAGAGAGAAAAAAAAACACACAACATGAACAGGAACTCATAAAAGGCACTGCGGGGAAACTCTCCAAAAAGCAGGTTCATATTTTTTGGCTCACATTCTTTTCTAAAAAAGAAAAGGGGGATCGAAGGATTAAAATATTATGGATTTAAGATCCATATTTGCACTGGAAACCGCCCCAAATTTAAGGAAGAGAACGCAGACTCGTGCAGAGACGCGGCGTTTGAGTAAATCGACTCCCTGCAGGATTATCAATTGCAAAAAACTGGATGGGCGAAAAAGAACCACAAAATATTTTTGTGTCGGTTTGATTTTTAGTTTTATAAGCCGCCCCTTCGACCGAGGTTGTGTTTTCTTACAACACCCCTTCACAGTAGGCCAGTGGGAAAGAGTGAAAGAGAAACGCCGGGTGTAACAGGTAATCCTCGACTTACAACCATTCGTTTAGCGATGTTGTAAGTTGAGAACGACCAGTGTGTTCAATGCTTTTCTTCTACTCCTTTCCCACTGGTCTACCGTGCAGGGGTGTTGTGGGAAGCACGAGTCAGACTTACTTCCCTGCGGCGTAGACCTCGGCCGTGTCGAAGAGGTTGATGCCGCTGTCGTAAGCGAGGGTCATCAGCTGCTCGGCCACCTGCAAGACAGACACGGATGTGATCCCGGGAGCTGAGTTGAACAAACCACGATTGCTGGTCCCATCACTTGGGATGTGAGGTTTGAAGGGGCCCGATCCCCCATGAAACCCAAAACAAAATATGAAATAATAAAATAAAATGCAAAGCTACGAAACCCACAAAACTATTAAATAATAAAACAAGCTATAAAACATGTAAAAAGACAAGCTGTAAAAATAAAAATAAAAACGAACTGTAAAATACAAACGGTAAAAAAAATACCCCTAAATAAAACAAGCTACATATAAAAAAAAAAAAGCTGTAAGAAATAAACCATAAAAAATAAATTACAAAATACACAAAAAGAAAAAACTATAAAAATAAAACAAATTATAGAATATCAAATAACCCATAAAACATGCAACAATAAAATAAACTATAAAAATAATCTGTAAAAAACTAAGCCGTGAAAAATAAACTACAAAATATACAAAAATAAAATACTAAAAACCTAAACTATAAAAATAGAATAAAACAAGTTGTAGAATATCAAACAACCCATAAAATATGCAAAATTAAAATAAACTATAAAGATTATCCTTTAAAATAATAAGCCATAAAAAAATAAACTAGAAAACATACAAAAATATTAAAAAGCTAAACTATAAAGGTTATTGTATCTTTATAGTTTAGCTTTTTAATATTTTTATTAACGGTAACGCATGAAATAAAACCGAAAAGAACATGCAAAAATAAATTAAGCTACACAAATAAACGATTAAAAAAATGCAGTACATTAGAAAACATGTACAAATAAAATATTAAAAAAGAAACTATAAAAATAGAGTAAAACACATTGCAAAATAAGGCTTATGAGAAATATGCAATTAAAAAAAAGATATTACGAAAAATAAATTACAAAAAATTAAACATTTTCCTGGCTCTGGACGTTGTTGAACCCAAGTGTGCCTATTTTGTCTCCGCCTGGCCTGCTCTGCAGGGCTGGTGTTACAAGATTTTTCTCTTCTCTAAATGTGGAACCATTCTGTACTTATATATTTATTAAATAGATTTAGCTGTCCGTCCAACTCACACACACTAATTCGTGTCACACTCAAGTTTTACAACCCTCTGCAAAACTGTCGGTTCTGATATTTGGCAGGCGAGAATGGGTCTGTGTGTGTCAGAAGAGATTAAAAAAAAATCTATTTTGGTCCAACTTTGGCTTTTTATGCCTGGAAAAGAATTCCTAAAATTGAAACCAGGGGGAAAAAAAATATATTTACCTCATCAGTTATCTGTCCTCCAAACGTCACCCATGTTCCTGCAAGCAGGCCAGAAATAATTAAAATTAATATTGTTTTATTTAATAACTATATCATTTAATTATTTTAATATCCCAGAAAGACGGTGGGATTGGATTAAAGGGGATAAGCAGAAGACACAGCAAAAAATCTTGCCTTAATATGGATAATCCTCGATTTACAACAGTTCATTTAGTGAGGGATCAAAGTTACGACGGGGAGAGAAACATTTTTTTGGGGGGTCAAATATCAGCAGCAAAGGGGAAAGCACAGAATTGGGGGTGGATTATGGTTTATTTTTTTTATTATTCTGATATATTTATTTATCACGTTTTTGTGATATATATCTATAAATGAAAATTATTTTTATATATGCACTGTATATATATTGGGTATTATAAATATATTTTATTGAAAAGTGCATTTATTTTAGGAGCTGTAAAACAGGTTTTACACGAGCATCCAATTTATTTTTATTTATCAAGATGTAATATATTGTATATGTATATGATCTATTGTAAATATGCTTTATCAATTTTGGGAGCTGTAAAACAAGATTTCGTGAGCATCCAGTTGATTTTTATTTATAAAGATTTAATATTATTTATATATATATAATATATATAGTATTATGTATTGTAAATATGTTTTATTAATAAATAAATTTATTTTAGGAGATACAAAATAAGTTTTCGTCCGATCGTTACGTGGCAGGAAAGTCTAGTCTCCAGCCTTGTGGTCAGAAAATCCACCGGTTAAGTCCAAATATTACAATTCATCACATTGCAGACTAGAAAATCTGCATGGGATCCGGGAGGTCATCTAGTCCAACCCCGCATCCCTTCGTAGGGGAATTCTTAAATTCGTAGCTGGAATCATAAAATGCAAGGCTAGGAAGGAATCTCATGTAATCCTGGTCTGGAATCTAAATTCACACGTATTATCAGAATGGAAGGGACCCGGGAGATCATGCAGTCCAACCCCCAGCAGCCATTCAGCCTGAGTTAAATAAACAGCGTCGATAACGCTGACGGAGACCTAGTATGATTTAAAATGGTGTGTGTGTGTGTGTGTGTGTGTGTGTGTGTGTGTGTGTGTATTTAAAGGAGTAGTGGAGAATTCAAATTTTGTGCCCAAGTTGTTGTGTTCCTCACAGACCCGCAAAAACTCCCTCGCACCAAAAGCTGGACGTGGGAACGTTCACTCACCTAAACCCAGGCAGGAAACCCGCAATCCCGACTTCCCGAGGTTTCTGAAAAACACACACAAAACACGTGAAAAAGGAAGTTTGTTCGTTGTGCTCTGATGCTGGCTTGCGAGGAGCGGATGCCTTTGCAACTCCGACCTGCACAAAAAGTACACAAAGACACACACAGACACACACAAAGCATGCACTTGGCTAGGAGAGCTCCCTCGGCTGTTTCTGGAAACCGACGTTATAAAATCTAGAGGAAAACACAACCCAGGATTGATTCACGCTTCCTTTAAGCACCCTTCCAAGTTACAGCAGCACTGGCTTATCACCACTCCTCACACTTACGACCGTTCCTTGCAATGACAGCCGTCACGAAATCCCCGTGAGAGCAAAATTCGTCCTCGACACAAGTTCGTTTAGGGACCGTTCAACGTTACAAGGGCACTGAAGAAAGTGACTTATGGCCGTTTTTTCACACTTATGACCGTGGTCAGGTGATCAAAATTCAGACCCTTGGCAACTGACTTGTATTTATGACGGTTGCAGCGTCCCGAGGTCATACAATCTCCTCCTCAAGCAAAGTCAACGGGGGAAGCCAGATTCACTTAACAACCGTGTTACTCACTTAACAACTGCGGCGATTCACTTAACAACGGTGGCAAGGTAGGTCTCAAAATGGAGCAAAACTCCTTTAAAAACTGTCTCGCTTAACAACAGAAATTTGGGGCTCCCTTTGGTCGTAAGTCGAGGACCAGGGTCGTGGGGAAAGCACCTCCTACCTGTATTTCATGCCCGTCTGTTTCGTGGCCGCGTGGCTGGTGGGGGACACGCTCTGCGTGGACAGCTGGCCGAGGCTTTGGGCCACCATAGCCACGGCCCGAAAGCGACCCCGGGCTCCGGGGCTCCCCGCATTTTGCCGGCTGAGTCGCTCCTCGGTAGTCCGGCTCTTGACGTTGTGTTCTGAGCAGGCGAAAGAGACTTGCATGCCGGCCACCGAGCAGGCTCCCTTTTGGATACGGAACGGCAGAAAATTCCTTCCCGGATGGGACGAGCAGCAGGAGGTTCGTCCGGTCAAAGGGGGGACCCTCCCGGAGCCATCGGCCCTAGTCCTTTATTAGGGTAGAGGCAACTCCGGAAAAAGGGGCACAGGGTGGCACAGAGAGGCCCCCCCCCCAGTTTCAGGATGCTGGTGCGAATGGCGGTTTGCTGGATCCGTCCAGCTCGAGAGGCAGCTGGCAAAGGGAGGCTTGTCCAAGTCAGAAGCCCTCTGCCACGCACGGCTGCTCCTTCTCTTCCTTTGCGGCGCCCGGAGAGACGGCAAGCCTCGTGCGCGCACACAAACACACACACACACACACACACACAAGCTGCCTTTTGACTCCAGCCTGGGCTCTTTCCTCTTCCCGCTGCTCCTTCCTCCCCCCCCCGTCCCCCCCACGGAGGAAGCAAAACTGCAGGAGGGGGCAGCAGCCTCTGGGCTCCCCCCCCCTCCCGTGTTTTCTCCTCCTCTTCTCCCTTCTTCTCTCCTACTTTTGTTTCTCCTCTCCTCCTCTTTGTCTTCCTTCACTCTTCTTTTTCTTCTTCCCCTTCATCTTCCTCTCCTCCTCCTTTCTCCTTCTCTTCTTCCCCTCCTCTACTTCCTCTTCATCTCCTCTTTTCTCTCCCTCTTCTTCCTTCTTGTCTTCCTCCTTTCCTCCTCTTCTTCTCCACCTCTTTCTCTTCTTCCCCTCCCCTCCTCCTTTTTCCCCTCTTCGTCTTCATCTCCTCCTTTTTCTCCCTCTTCTTCCCCTTCCTTCTTTCTTCTCACCTTCCTTTCATCTCTTCCTCCTCTTCTTCCCCTCTTCTACTTCCTCTTCATCTCTTCTTCCTTCTTTCCTCTTCTCTTCTTCCCCTCCTTTCCTTTTTCCCCTCTCCTACTTCCTCTTCACCTCCTCCTCCTTCTTCCCCTTCCTTCTCGTCTTCCTTTCTTCTCTTCTTCCCCTCCTCTCCTCCTTTTTCCCTTCTTCCACTTCCTCTTCCTTTCCTTCTCCCCTTCTTCCTCCTTTCCTCTTCTCCTCCTCTTTCTCCTCCTTCCTTCTCTTGCCTTCCTCCTCCTTTCCTCTTCCTCCCCTCCTCTACTTCCTCTTCCCCTCCTCTTCCTTCCCTCCAGAAGTTGTGAATGATGCATCACTGGAGGTTTTGAAGAATAGACTGGAGAGCCAACAAAAGGTAGATGGTTGCAGAACTGCGTGCACCACGTTCTGTGCATCACAACTCCCCCCCCCACACACACACATGCACACCCTCCACCCGCAAATCAGCACACAATTAGCCAGCTTCCAAGGAAGGGAGCTGATCTGTTTCCCCCCCCCCCGGGGGCTGCAGCTGTGCAGGAGATTTTGGAAAGCGGGGATTTCCTCTCCGTGAAAGGATTTGAGAAATTGGTGGGGAGGGGGGGGGAGAGAAAAGAGAAATACAGGAAGTCCTTGACTTATGACCCCAATAGGATCCCAAAATTTTAAACACTCCCCCCCCTTTTGCTCCCCTTAAAGAGCTTTGAAAAACTCATTTGAGAAGTTCGCCTCAAAAAGAAAAATCCAGATCAGATCAGGGCTTAATAAGCAAACATCTCCAGAAGTTGTGAATGCTCCATCATTGGAAGTTTTCAAGGATAGACTGGGCAGCCACTGGTCGAGGGTCTCCTGCTTGAGCAGGGGGCTGGACTAGATGACCTCCGAGGTCCCTTCCAACTCTCTTATTCTGAGATAGAGGTAGATAGATAGATAGGATAGATATTTTATTAAATTTAAAGACAGATGGATGGATGGATGGATGGATGGATATAGATAGATAGATAGGACTGATATTTTATTAAATTTAAAGACGGATGGATAAATGGGAGATAGATAAGATAGGTAGACAGATAAGATAGACAGAAATCTTATTAAATTTAAAGATATAGATAGATGGATGGATAGATAGGATAGATAGGATAGATATAGAGATAGATGGATCAATGGGTAGGATAGATATAGATGGATGGATGGATGATACGATGGATGGATGGATAGGATAGATAAAGATACATAGATAGATAGATGGATGGATGGATGGATAGGATAGATAAGATAGATAAAGATACATAGATAGATGGATGGATGGATGGATGGATGGATACGATGGATGGATGGATAGGATAGATAGATAAAAGATACATAGATAGATACCTCTGAGGTCCCTTCCGACTCTCTTATTCTGTAATCCCAGATCTGGATTACAGGATAATCAGTGGAATGGAAGTTGCCTTCAGAGGTTGTGGAGGCTCCATCACTGGAGGCTTCTAAGAAGAGACTGGAGAAGTTTCTCGTTTGTAGGGTCTCCTGCCTGGGCAGGGGGTTGGACTAGAAGACCTCCGAGGTCCCTTCAAACTCTCTTATTCTTTAATTTTTTTTCTGATAATTTGCAACAGGCAGATCGCATGGGACACGCCCCCCCTTGTCTTCCCCCACCCCAAAACAATTCTCTCTAAACCCAGAAAATGGAAACCCTCCCTTCTCTTCTCTTCGTGAAGTTTTGCCCGTTTTATTTTGAATTTCTCAGCGGCTGGCGGAGGCTTCCTTCCGCTCCCTGCTAAGGCCTTCTCTGCTTTTATTTATTTATTTATTTTATTTGCAAGAGATGAATAATATATCAACCCTTATTAGAAAGGCTGTAATCCAACACTTCTCTAAACGTCCTGCCATGCACCCGGAGTTATAAACAGAGGCATTTGCAATATTCATGGCAGGTCGGAGGGAAGGAAATGCAATATTTATGGCGCACTGCCCAATTCTGCCCTCCGAGTCAAACCAGGCGCCCGGCGGGGGATTTTGGCTCCCGGATGATGCCTCTTGCAAATAGGGATTTTGTGTGTGTGTGGTTTGTGTCTCCGTTGGTGTGTGTGCCTAGGTGTGTGTGTGAGAGAGAGGAGAGAGAGAGAGAGAACTTAGAGATGTCGCCTGCTGGGCCATCTGGTTGTGGTGTCCGAAAATGGCACTGTAAGCTTTGGAAATCCTTTTTTTTTCCTCCACCCCCCAGGGAAAAAAATGGACAATTTGAGAGTTTTGGTTGTGGGCTGGGAGTTTGCAAAAAAGGGAAACAGAAGGGGTAGGAATGGAGAAAATCAAGTTTCTCGGATGGAAATAAAATAAAACGATACAATCCGGAATAGGAAGACAGTAGAATAGAGTAGAAAATAGAATGGAGAATGGAATGCGGAATATAGAATATCCTGAATATAGAACAGAATGTTGGAACAGAGTATAAAATAGAATATAGAACACAGAACAGAAAGTTGAGGCTCTAATTTTGCACAAAATTAAAAGTTTTTTTGCTGCCGTTGCAAACGAATTAAATGCTGGGGATTTTAAAGAGCAGAAAAGCCCACGGATCGGATGAGAGACGTTCGGAGTTGAATAAATTGCCTTCTAGCCGTAATCTGCTTCCTCGGATTTTTTATTTTTCTGCTTGCGGAGTTTACAAAGGAAAAGGGTGATAAGAAAAAGAAGGGAAAATGCGCTCGGGTGTAAACTCAGTGTACCCCACCCTATGGGGTGGGGTGGGGGGGACTTGCGTAAAAGCTCTTTTTCCTGCGGAAAAGTACAAATTTTTTGGGGGGTATAAATTCCCTGAGAAAACAATTTATTTTTTTTTAAAAAAAGCACATCGTTTTCCTGAAGTTTTGTTACAACAACCACCGTCGTAAGAAAAAGGTTGCAACATCAGCCGTGACTCGCTTAAGGACCGCCGGGGAATTCTGGTCGTTAAGCCAAGGACTTCCTGTACCAAGGATAATTTATTGATTTATTTTCTCCATTTCAGACAGCGCCACCTGGTGGCAAGTGAACAAACTACACAAACACAATTCAGAAATAAATCTCTTTCTCCATTCATCCATCTCCTATCTATTAGGGTATCTGTCTCTATCTCTTCGTCCAGCCATGTTCTATTATCTCTCTCTCTCTCCATCTCTCCATCCATTTTGTATCTATTATCTCTATCTCTCCATCCATCCATCCAATTGGTTGGTCCAAACTCTT